TTTTTTATATATATTAAATAATTGTAATTAAAAAAATATTACTATATGGAGAATTATTACAATGTAAATACATTTGATTGATTTTATTATAATATAAATATATTTAAATGTAATTTATTCTTATGATGGCACAGCTGTAGGTTCAACAAAGGTTCAGCAGCCATATTCCAATATTCAGTGTCATATGATTTTGAAAATGTTGAAATCAGAAATGTTGATTTGGTGCTCACAAAACATTTCTTATTAGTCAAAATTATTTGAATGTAAAGCTCAAAAGAAGAGCATTTATTTGAAATGGATATATTTTGTTACATTCTAAATGTCTTTGCTGAATAGTGCTGAATAACCCAGTTTTTAAAATGCTAATGATATCTAATGTTAACAAATTAATAAACTTTTTGTTATACATATATGCTTAAATCTGAAGTATATTTCTGTCAAAACAATTACTGTTTTGAGACGGGTTTCCCGATCACTTCCCCCTACCATTGCTTGATGAAATAGATGGTCCCACCCCCCAAAACCATATATTTTGCTTTATTAGGCTGTTTGGAATGTTGAAATGAACAACAGTGTTTTGATAGTGAGAGTCAGTCAGTGTATACACTCTCCTGGGAAATCAACCTACATATTAAGCTGACTCTATTTATCATCGAAAAATTACATATTTAATGCAAACACTAGTAAAACCATGCAGCTAATCATAAATATAAGCTACCCACACCTCAAAATGTCAGTGTCTGCAGAATTGTTCATTAAAAGTAGTTCCAAACAACTTAGTAGGGCAAATATGTCATCTCTGTTTATTTGTGTGTGTTTGTGTTAGGCCCAGATACAGCAAGACTCTTCCGTACCATTGTATACCAAAGTACCATTGTTCAGGCCAATCCTCTTTTTTGTTTTTTATTAGTTCTGCCACTGCCTCTCATTCACTAACCCCCTGGAGGCTTTTCTCCCTGCATATATGTGTCGAGGCGATAAGGGAATTGGCGATTTTGTTTATATCGCTAATTATATGATTCCACGGTTGCTGTTCGATGCGTATTGTTCTTGCTTCCTGGTAGCGCTCTGATCTGCTTGCTTCATCTGCTTCTATTTTCATCTACCTCCTCAATCACTCTTGACAGTTGGCCAACACTGAATGGTGACCCTTCCGCCGGTACCGGTACAGTTTTCTCCTTGGAGGGGTGGATGGTGTGCTTGCTCAGGAGACAGGAACAGCTGTGAAGAGCATGCTTTGCCTTCATTATCATTCATTCATTCATTTTTTTAACGTTATTTGCACGTTCTCCTTCGCATATGGAGCCGTGTGTTATTCCTGCTTAAGGAAATTAGGAAGCAATCCTTTATCTTTGACATAACTCCGAACACAAATGCAGTAATTGTCAGACTCTCATGCAGCGACAGAGTGAGAAAGAGGGAGGGAGAGATGGATGGATGGAGGGGGTGGAAAGAACTGTGAGAGGGAGGGCAAGCGTGTGTGTGCATATGTGCATATGTGCAAGCGTGTGAGAGAGAGAAAGAGAGCGAGTGCTATGTTCAATACGCAGAGCATCTAGACATTGTGCCGGGTGGGAGAAGAGACAATTAAATCCACAATCCAGAAAAAAAAAATAACTGACTCACGGATTAAACACTATAGGTTTGTACTCCTTTCCAGTCTCGATGTGGAGTGCGGATTGTGCGTGCAAGTCTGAAAGTTATCTAGGATGTGAGCTCTTGTGGAGGATGAGCTAAGGGATTCTTCGAGGTTTGGAGAGCGCAGCTGCTGCCTTCAGCCACTGACGGAAGGACCTTGCGCACGAGGAGGAGAGCTGCCTCCGTTTCGCTCTCTCTTTCTCTCTTTTTCCTTTCTCAGTCTCACAGAGACAGGCAGCATCCCTCAGCCCTGGTATTGAAAACAGAAGACGTTCAAGGCGAGAAAAAAGAATAACGGCGAAGAAAAGAACAGGATTATAAAAGCAGGGCGTAATCAAGGGAAATCTGAAGCAAGGGCAAAAAGAGTTGAAAATAGATTTGCATCTCAGGCTCTTGTGTTTGTTGTTTTGCGGGGCTAAACTGAAGAGATTTGGGTCGTGCATTGCTTTGCTTCAGCCAGCCTGTGGAGTATAGGATCACAAATAGCATTTTAAGGTAAGATGTTAGTCAAGTCCGATGTCTTGCATGTGCGACCAAGTGCAATTTAGGTTTGGCAGAGCTGATCAGTCTACTGCAACGACTGCTGAAAAGGAAAATGGGGGGGGGTGTAAGTCAGAGTTGTTTTTGTGAACTATTTACATAAATTGTTCTGCTTAATTAAAGTTGAAGGCTCCTGGAATGGATTGCCTTTTAATCAGTGCTTAGGTCTGGCGCTAAAACCGTGATTTATTCCTTCGCACCTTGGTGGATATTACTGGGATGTTGGGGGACAAAGGGGATAATTACAGTGCGAGACGCTCCTCATTTTGACAGGATCTCCCATTTGTCGGAAATAGAGGTGAGGGTTTGGGAGGAGGGGGTTAAAACCAGCTATATGTCATTTTGAGGGGAAATATTTAAATCTACACCTTAAGATGCTCTCGCAACTTTCAGAGTTGGTGGCTGACCGATTGTTGTCAGTTTTTTCTTTTCCTTGCGCACGACGTAATTACTTTTCCTGTCACTTCTCCCATGAGTTCAGCCGCGGCACCTTCGCATGAAGCAATTTAGTGGCCGTCTTGTGACCACGTTTGAGAAAGGAGGGGTGTGAAAATGCAAACAGAGATTGAAGGCGTGATGGAGGGGGTTTGACAGCCTCATATCTGTTCTGCTGCTTCACGCATCTGAGGCCAGATGGAGAGGGGACAGAATATTATTATTTTTTATTATTATTTATTTATTCCAGACTGAAGGACAGCCGTTTGGGTTTGGGCGTGAATGTCCCACAGCTCCGTTGAGGAGTGTGTGAGCGCTCCCCTGACGGTAGTGGACAAGTGGCCCCCTCCTTTGTAGGAGGGACTGAAATATTCATGATTGCATGCACACCCTGTCTGCCCTGAAATATTTAAAATAATTGAATGATAAATAACCCTGACTGTTGAAACTGGCCCCTCTGTTATCCTGTCCATAGTGCTGATTCTCTCCACTCGTGTTACCGGTACGCCCGTGACTTAGTCTGCAGATAGAAACCGATTAGGCGGTCTGTTAATGTGAGGAGTTTTCAGAGGAATGATCTGAATGTGAGAGAACAATTCTCATTATGTGTCCGTGTGAATGTTGGAGGAGAGAAAGACAGAGATTTTCTCTGTCCGAATGCTTTGGAAATGTGATGAATGAGCTGTCTTGTCAGTAATACATGGCTGAATTCAGTCGGATTGAGAGAGAAAAAGAAAAGCAGACGGGTGGAGAAAGAAAGCGAGAGTGTGATGATGATGTCTGTGTGTTCTGTCTTTGATGTTTTATTGAGCGCTAACTGGGCAGAGTCCTTGGGTCTGCTGGTTTATGTTTGAAGAGGGAGCTCTGAATTTGAGACTGCTGCTGCTTGATTTGCAGTTGCATTTCTTGTACACTCTCAATCATTGACGTGTAGAGTCTAAATTGGAATGTATAAAATCAGATTTTCCATATATATATATATATATTGATTTTTCCAAGTTGTCATTTAAACAATCCTTAAATGTGATTTTTCAAAACATACAGTGCAATGAATATATAAATGGTGTAATTGCTATGCGACAGCAGTAACGTAGTCTGCCTGCCTGCTGTTATGAAACAGGCCTTCGAGGGTCTTGAATGGAAATGAGAATGCACTGGCAGATGTAGTCACAGAAAAAGCCTTTCGCTGCATTGCCAGGATCACTTGTTCCCAGTCTAGCCAGATGCATCAACACACGTGACATCTGAGGAGGTTTGCCACTGCGTGAAGCTGAAGCTCAGCCATGCCTAAAGGTGCTCTCATGTCCATCTCGATAACTTTGTATAAATGTGTTGTTTGATGGTGGAAATGATGGGGTCATGGGATAACAGATGTCCTGTGAACCTGAAATTGGGAGGCAAGGTGACTGCGATGCACTTTGAACACACAAAGATGCTTTGATCATGTACTTGATTGATTTTCTTTCAAATATCATTTCAAGTCAAAGATGTGCCACTTCGCTCTGGAATTACACGGACTAATGAAAAGGTATTTCTTTTCAGTGCACTCTTAAACAAGCTTTGACGCTGACTACCATTAAAAACATAATGTCTCAGCTGCACTCCTGCGAGACCAGAACAACTTGATTTATGCAGGTAAATGCAGGTAAAAAAAACAGCTACTGCAAATCCAGCCTAAGGTGGTTTGCTGGTCTTATCCAGTTTAAGCTGGTTTAACTGGAGTTTAACTTGACCATGCCAAGCTGGTATTAGCTGGCCAGTAAGACTGGCTGTCAAATTCCCAAAACCCTGTAAACCATCAAAACATACAATCTTAGTCTGGCTTAATCTAATTTTGGCAGGGTGGACAACACATTGAGAGTGTGCATTCTTGTTATGCATGTGTACTGTGCAATCTTGTGTTATTTTCAGGGTAAAAACGTTAGATCAAAGTTTATATTATTCAGGCAAAGGTTCATAAATATGACTTTATTTTTACAATACAGTTTGGCAGATGTTTTTATTTACAGCAACTTGCAGTATAATGCATGTCAGATTTATTTATTCCCTAGAAATCAAACTTGTGACCTTGACCTCTAACAATTAAACCAAAAGATACTCCAATTATAATAGCTAGAGTCAGAAAGAGACACCACTAAAGTGGCCTTTGTGGCAACACTGAAAATGGATGTTTGTGTTGTTACGTTCATTCCTGTAGCACAGAATAGTAGAGCATGGCGTTAACAACTCCAAAGTCATGGGTTTGATTCCCAGGGAATGGATGAAATTATACCTTAACAGTTTAGGATAAAAGCATCGGCATAGTTGTGAATGTAAATATTACGAATTGCATTCTGATATATTTCAGAATGCAAAAGTGTATGGTAGAGTTTGCGTAGCTAGAATCATTTTGTTTTTGCACACCAAAGTGGCCCTTGTGGCAACAATGAAAATGGATGTTTGTGTTGTTACGTTCATTCCTGTAGCACAAAACAGTAGAGCATGGCATTAACAACTCCAAGGTCATGGGTTCAATTCCCAATGGATGAAAGGATACCTTAACAGTTTAGGATAAAAGCATCGGCATAATTGTGAATGTAAATATTATGAATTTCATTCTGATATATTTCAGAATGCAAAAGCGCATGGTAGAGTTCGCCTAGCTATAAGCATTTGTTTTTGCATTTTCTAAGTGTTGTTTTGGGCTGAAGTTCATTACTTTGTACTTGAAACTGATGTATTGCCTTTGCCATGCAGTTTATAAAAAAAGCTCAGTTTCCACAGGAGGGGGCAACAAAAACATGTGAGTTACGTCAAAGGGAGACCAAAGAGGTTAAAAATACAATCCTTCATTAGTACAAGAGCTCTTGCTACCTGAAAGAGATGATTCAGCCTTTGACTGTCACTATATTTACAGCGAGTCCATTAAGAAATTAAGAAAAAAAATCAATGCTCATTGTTCTGACAACACTTGTTTTCCATATTTTGGAGACTGTGACCTTTAGTGGAGTGACTCTTACCTTCTCACAAGCGAGCTTAGATGACTCTGTCACAAGGCTTCAGATCATTAGTGCACATCAGGGTGATGTTATGTTGGCATGGTCACCACAAAAACAGTCATGCCTCCTCATTGCCGCCAGTCTAAATAACAGAACAATAAGCTCTGAATTGGGCACTGGTCCCATCTGCCATCTTTTAGTTGCTTGTTGATTTGATCCCTAAGGCAAGTGTAGACCACTGAATGACCGGAGAGATGTATTGCACGTAGACTAATTTTAGCAGGGATCTGGCACTGATGCACCTCTTTTGATTGCTACATTTACAGCCCTCTGTTTTCTGTCAACATAAACATATTTATCAATGTATTCATATAACACATCTGGATGGTATATACAGACAGATGGTAGCACTAATCCTCAAGGGTCCCTGAAGTCTGGTGGAAAACAAGCTGGCACTATGCACAGGACGTTAGTAAAGTTCTGCCAGATTTTGCAAACAAAGCATTTAAAAATAACATTAGATGATCTTCTTAATCAGGATTTTCATGACATACTGGTTAAACAGTGGTGGAGCTTAATTAAATCTGTTCATTTCAGTACCTTTAACATTAGAGGTTCTAAACTAGTGGGTGGCAGGCCATAGATAATATATGATTGCCACAGAAATGGCGACAGAAAATATTGTAAATGGAAAAAAGATAAATCTTAATTTAATGTATTAATTAGAGATGCAATTAATTATATATACAAATGAAATTAGTTTATGCATTAAACATTTTCAAATATTGGTAAAAATATTAATTCTGTCACAAACGCTTAATTTCAGGGGGCACTACCTAACTTGCTTGAACCGTATTCACGAATGCATTTTTATAAGGATCTGTCACCTATCAGTGTTTGTTTTTGATTTTCTCCTCTTTAGTGCATTGCGGTCAAAACTGTTTATATTTAGTTATATGACTTTTTAGCAAGGTTTGTACAGCACAGTTGTTAACTACTGTTGTTTTTATTGTGTTTTATAAATACATTTTGATTGATTGATTGATTGATTATTTTCTCTTTTGAATGGGTATGCATAGTTTTTGGAGGTGCAGTTTGTCTACATCCATTTAGAATGGTTCGATTTCACATGCTGGTGTTTCAGAAGGAAGGAAAACAAAAACTCATATTTTAAACTGGGGAGTGAGCTTTGGGGAGTAACCTTTGAAACGTTGCATATGTTTTGATTTTCCATTTCATGACCCATTTAATACATTGTAATATTTTGTTTTAAGGGTGTTACTTCTCTACATTAAACAATTTTGCTATGGTGTTGGGTCTCCTCTTGATGTCTCAGCTAAAATTTGGCCTGAAGCAAACCATTAAGAACTGCCATTTTAAATCACACAGATGCACTGTTTTTTAATGAGAAACCTCTCATGGATAAATTGTGCACTTCACTTCTCTTTCTTTTCCACATTTCTCACTGTTAGACCTGTATTGCCTCATGCTGTATAATGAAGACCTTAAGAAGTCAAAGAGTCTCAATTAAATGACACAGAT